TTCAAAAACAAGACAAAAAAAAACATTCACTGATTACCGGGTGCTTCATCGTTGTATGATTCGCAAATATTCTTCTTCCGGACAATTTTCATAGATAGTCATCTGCTTGTCAAGCCCTTATCGTAATATTCTAACGTTGCAACGTTAAAGAAGCCCGACAGTTTTATCTGTGCTGATGATATACTGTAACTGTTTCATTGTTCTCAGAACGCTTGTATGTCTTCTTCTGTTTCCGTTTAAATTATGTAGCTGATTTGTAAAGCATCGTCACAGTCTGATAAGGCTTCGTTTTATATATATATATATCATTGTTGTGTCGTACACTTTTACGAACTTAGCGTTTTTCAAGAATTTCTTTTAAAAGATTTATAAATCAATAAATTTTTATTTATTTATTAATAAAGTTTTATTCTTCTGTACATTTACAAAACATGTGTTTGTTGAACGTCTAACAAATATATAAATATATAAAACCATTGTGTTTTGGCAAAACAATTACGAGTAAGGCTGTGTATGTTTGGAAATGCGGAGAACTTGTATACATACAAATGCGCTTGCGCGTGTACGTATATAATACACACGTACACACACAATATATCCTGATAAATATAACTAGTTTGCTTCCAAAACTAATGAGTAAGGCACTGCTGTATTGATTGATTTGACGTTGCCAACATCAGCCTGTCGCTACCACTGGACCAGCCCACTGATATAAAAGCGGGGAGCACCTGATGTAAGCAAGAGATTATTGAATCGGCTATTCGTTAGAAAAAGTTGTTTGCGCCTTCATTGTCCAGCAGTGAAGCCATGACTGCTACTTACAGGCTAGGTAATTATATCAGATATCCATTAAATTTTCATTCAAATTGTTTCATATGCTGCAGTTCAAATATATGTCCTAGTATATGAACTTGTAAACAGATACACTTAAAAAATTACAAGTTTTGTCTTTCATGAATTTTTATCATAAACTTTTGTGTCTGGATTTTAAATTTTATATTCATGTTCAATTGCTACTTACTTCTCTCGCAACAATATACAGGCAAAGCATGATTTTTTTTATTTTATCTTGTAGTCTGGTACTAAGAAAGGTTAGGACATCGTAACCCAGGTAACACCTTGTTGGTGGTGGTTTATAACAAACCAAGTGTTACTTTAGCGCTGTTATGGACTCGCCACAAAAAGATTTAGAATGATGTGTTTAATTGTTTCTCATCACACCCGTTACCTTCAGATATATTTTTATATAAGTACTGATAATGTAGGTCTTATGGTTAACACTGCTTTGCTATATGAGCTGTTTTCTAAAGTGTAATCATTTCAAAATGTACATCCTATATAAAATTTTGTTCTAGCTATAAGTACATATTTGGTTGTTCCTCAGTAAAATAAATTACTAGAAGCAAATGTTCGTTTTAATTGTTTTTTTTGACACATTTGCTACTTTAGTTTTGCAGAATGATTTGTGCTTTAAGCTGTTCTGTGGCGCAGTTCATCATTGCATTAGAGTGGCTGATGCTTAAAATAATCCCTACATATAATTCATAAGTGTTGTAGACTGACTTAGGCCTTAGTTGCTCTGTGATATAATTATTTAGTGGCTGCAGTAATGTTAAAGAGTTTTTAAATGCAATTAATTATTCAAATCTTCATTGTTGTTGAATGAAGTCTTCTAAAAAGGTCTCGACGTTTATGTATTTTTTGTGTGTACCAGTTAAATGTGCTTTCATTATTAAAAGTTAAGATACTTTATCAGCACAGTGGTGCACAATAAGTTTCTAGTTATGGCTGGAGACGGCTTAAATGGGTAATGAAG